ACACAGAACGTCAGCACATTTTTAAAAAGGATGTTTGGGATACCATCAGGTCCCAAACATCGAGATGAATTAAGTGACTGGAGACATCCTCGTACATCAGTTTCAGTGAAAGTAGGAACACAGTTAGTTTTTAAACCCGTGGATAGAGGGAGCATCACATAAGATGACTGACGTACAAAAGACTTATTTAAGTCACAAACATTCAGCTGGTTATCGATTCTAAACTTTCTGTCACTTCCACACAAACGTATATGCAAAGTTACACTGGCATCACTGGATCATACTACAGAGAATCAAATCGACCACATCTGTATCTTTCCACCACCTGGTGGTTTTCAAGATGAAATTGAAGCTAAATAAGCACTACAAAACTGGGGGAACGGTGTCACAAAGGTTCAAAACAGCCCTCCTTCTACCCACTGACGAACTCAACGAATTCAAGACACCTCTCATGAACAAATTTTAAGCCTAACGGGATCTACTCAAAGAAGAAACCACTATGGAGGACAACTGAAAAGGGATAAAAGAAGCACTAGCTTCAACGTATCAAGAGGTTCCGTGTGACAAGAAGCATCATCACAAGAAATGGATCTCTATGGAAATCCTGGACAAGGCTTAAAAAGGAACGAAGGAGAAGACAGCAACCAACAACTACCGAGCCAGAACTGAGAAAGTCAAGTTACAAGCTGAATACGCAGATGCAAATAAACAAGTGAAGAAGAGCACTATAACTGACAAATATGTGGAAGAGCTAGCAACAATAGCGGAAGAAGCTGCAAGAGAAGGGAATATGAAACAGCTATATGACACAACGAAAACACTACCAGGAAATTCGGAAGACCCAAGAGTTCGGCCGAGGACAAAGAGGACTAACCAATCACTGAGATTCAAGAACAGAGGAACAAACTGGTAGAATAGTTCTAGGAACTCTTTAATAGACTAGCTTCACTGAAGCTACCAGACACCAAAGCAGCACCTACAGACCTTCCTATTCGGCAGACATCCAGTTTCTAGATCATCTGGTTGGATTCTCTTTCTTCTCGTGGTCGACTGGATCATGAGGACCTACACATATCAAAAGAAACATGAAATACAATTGACAGATTGGACGATTTGAACATCGCACATGACATGAACTTTCTATTCAATACACACGGACAATTACAGATAAAAAAAACCAATGCAGTGGCAACCTCTGCTTCAGTATGCTTCAACATACACAAGAAAAAAAACAAGATCCTCAAATAAAACATAGAGAACACCAACACAATTACATTTGATAGAGAAGCTGTGGAAGATTTGAGTCTTTCATGAGCGTGTAAAGCATCATCGATGGACAAGGAAGGTCCCATGCAGATGTAAATGCAAGGATTAGCAAAACGATAACGGCATTCCGACAACTGAACAACACATGGAAATCGAAACAACTGTCCGCAAACCAACATCGAAGCCAGAATCCTCGATACGAGCAACAAGACAGTTCTACAGTACGGGGCTGAATTTTGGGGGACCTTTATAACCATTGTCGAAAAGGTACAAGTATAAGATACTAAATGTCGATTGACTGAATACCTTCATCACCAGCTTGCTGTGGAAGAAAACAAACCAACTTCGAGATGAAGAGGATAAGACATACGTTACGGAAAACATCAAACTGCATCACGAGGTAAGCGCTAACTTGGAATTCTAAGGAAAAATGGTAGAGAGGTAGACGCAAGAATATATGGCGCCCGTAATTGAGGGCAGACATAAAAAGGATGAATAGTAACTGGAAAGAACTGGAAAGGATCGCCCAGGTTAGATTTGGTTGGAGAATACCTGAGTGCAGCCTATGCTCTTCCATGAGAGGGGACAGGAATGAGAAAGCAATTTAGAGCATAGTCAGAATCCAGGGAAGTGCTTCAGAGCGAGTTGTACGCAACAAAACCAGGGAGGCTGAACATAACGTGATCACTTTGAGTCCACACTTTGGGTGGAAAGAGATGATGACTGCACCGTTAGTTAGTGATAGCCAGGAACAAGTTGCAGTCTGCGCAGTTTCAGTAGATGGTCGCCACTACTTGATCTACCACCAGCAAGTTCTTGTTTGCTGCCCGTACGACTTCTCCTTGTGACACGTTGCCCAGTTTGTAGGTTTTTCACGGTGGTAGGTACCCTCTATTCTATTGACAGAATAAAAGAAATTGGTAGTGGATAGGTTCTTATTTTCTCATGGGTGGCACGCAGTCCAGCGCGAGGCTACCTGTTCAAACACACAAAGATTTTGACATTCAATATAAGAAAATAAGAAATATGATCCTACACAAAATAAGAAAGTGAATAAATACTCGAACTCTGTTGTTTCGATATATATTCAGATGTGTGGAGGTATGTTCTGAGTTCGTAATTAGTGCTGCTATGATGATAAACTTAATCCTAAAGTTGTGGATTTGTCGTGATATGTCTATATAATCTGTGAGATATTACATGGTAGTCTCATCATTGACAAACCTGACTCATATCATAGGAATTAGCAGTATGACGTCTGGCGCTCTTGGAGAATTTATTTGGGCTAAAGATAGAATAATGTATTCCATATGAATAAAGACAATTTTCACAGAATGATCACGTCTGCGAGGCTGAGCCATGCCATCTGACTAGATGAATGAATAACCCCGAGTTCACCACTGTTGGTCTTCTTTCCGTGTTAAATGTTGAATATATATATTCCCACTTACCTCATATTCAGCTTTGTGGATTGTGTGGTTAAGGCTAATACCATTACAGATGTTTAAGGTTAACTCTAATCAACCCCAAGTTGTTACAGGTTTTCATTATCTGTTGAATTACTGGTGGTAAAAATCATCCTTAGTGGCATCTGAACTACAATCTATCAATGGGTAAGTGGAAATAACGTCAAGACATCGTTTCTCGCACCGTTTACCTTCTACCTGGGTTGAGCTTTCTAATCTAGCAACAGTCCGTGACAGTTAGCTGGGGGTGAAGTCCCTTAGCGCTCTTGAAGCTCTAACACTTACTGCTACACCAACTACAGAGAAACCAGATAAAGATGTCATTACGTACGGGGATAAATGTACGCGAATGAAGCCCTTAGCTGCGGTAGATGGAGAGAAAATATTTGGCACTTCATTAGAGTCTTGAATACGGGTCTTAGATAGACAACAGATATTGATTTTGAGATATAGATACTCTTCTCCTTGTTCGATCTACATTGGTGTGCAAACATCGAATTAAGCCTATTGGAATGGGATATATGGTTACGTTTATTCCGGCTCACAGTTTGTATTCGTTCGTAACACGCCCACTACTGACCAGTAGGTTACTTGACATCATTTCAATAGGACAGGATTTCCACCATAGGTGACCTGCTACATGAATTGAAAAATAGAGGCATACACATAGTTAAAGGGAACAGATGAATGATCCTATGTAAAATATAAATTATTGTTACCAAATATTTATAAATACAGTTTCTGACAGTGTGAATTAAAACAAGAGTACATTTTCAGTTCTGGTTAGATGAATTGCTTATCGGCCCAGATACTACCCGAGTGTCCAAGCAGAAGCAGATGGTTTTGTTAGGAGGCTAATACCGGAGTTTTCGAACAAGAGCCATAATGCAAAACGTAATGGAACAACGTTAAGTGATGAGGTCACCTGGTAGCCGGTGGTCAAGAATAAATTCATATAGATAAATCCATCGACAAGCATTCACCAATGAAGTTCACCAGTTTAGACTGGGAGAAGAAAAATCACTCCAAATTACAAATTTTGTTGTTCACGGAGAGCTAAAATTAGTAATACACACAAGTCCATTATAATAAATTTTCTATTCTCATATCGATGTTTTGAACATATTGATATTATTCTTTGTTAGTTTAACAAGCCACTGCTTATGCGAATGAAAACTGGTTGTTAAAAATCATGAAATAAATTTTTGTCTGTGTACAGAAAAATGTTTACTGTTATTGGACAAAAATGAAACGCTTTATACCAGATCAAAGTGCTGCAGTGGACTGGGAAATCCCATTTAGTCTGGTAAACTATCTTAGTGGTATTTAGGTACGATGGATTTGTTGCTTTTACATTCTTGGCCAGCGAAGTTTGAAAATCTTAATAATGACAAGAGCTGGCATTGGGATGTGAGGCTTACTAGCCACTCAGTACTAGCATCTCTCCAGTGATAATCGAGGGACCTCTGTGAGAACTGCCGATCACAACTCGGGGCATTCACATGAGACATGTGTCTTGTTCTGGATGGTTAGGTTCATAGTCTCACATTCGTCTACTTATGCCTCATACCACGGTCCATATTTTTCCCAAATTTCAGAAGATGCCGTGTTTAATTGGCTGGTTTAGGGTTTAGTGTAACACAAAGTTTCAAAGAGATGAACTTGGAAACTGGTAATTAGGTTAAAAATAAAAGTATAAGAATGGGCAAGTTTTATATCTATCAAGAGTTTCTCAATAGATTGACCTAACTCCACACATAAATAGACCCAATCACCTCTGCCCGTTTTATCAAGATAATACGCTGTTAGACAGTCAAAAATTAACAACTTGATACCAAAATGCTAAATAATAAGGGGTTAGTTGGAGTATATGCTTCAAATACAAACTAGCAACAGTGGAAAAACCAGAACACATAGTACAGGGTTTGCAGGTTTACAGGACATCCTCAATAAGTAGTGTGACAAATGAACTATTCTGCAACAATCATCAACTGAAAATTCATTGACTGGAACTTTAGAACGATCAAACAGCACTTAATTTTGAGTGTCAGGATTATATTTCACATAACCGTTGTATGAATACTTCCCTCAAATCTGTAGTTTTAGATCAAATTTCTCAGTTCACGAATACGAAAATTTCTAAACTCCAAAAAATCCCTAGCTGTCAGATGAATATTTATACGAGCATACCTAAATATAGAGGCATCTACTGTTTATTTGTTTGAACCTTTTGGTGTGCTTTTCAAATGTTTTATACGTCTTCGCGGTATGAGCTCGAGATTGGACGATTGTAATGATTATTTTTTTAAGAACTTGATACACAATTCATAGATGCCTCGTTCATGAAAATTTCGGGATATTCGAAAACGATTCTGCAGCCTGAGAGGTAGAACATGTCTCTCAGTTTGCCATAAATATGATGTTTTCCTTAGGATAAAAAGCGATGTGATTTATTGTCGTATATGCTTGGGGTCCAGTGATTTTGAGGAACTGATAAGCCCTTGCTATTGTGCAGGTAATAAAATAAATATCTTTTCTTCATTTCACGAAGATAATAGGAACAATTGGAATTGTTCATCAACAGTGTTTAGAGAAGTGGTTAAACTTGTCTCGATCGAAAGCCTGTGAAATTTGCGGTTTCACTTTTGAAGTTTTAAAACGTTATCCCCACTTTTGTAAGGTCTGTTTCTTATTTAACTATGTCGATGAATTTTCACTTACAATGTGTTTATTTCATAGAATACAATATATTTCCACAGTCCAAGTGTACCATATATTCGGCTTACTATCTCTATTTAAAACACTAAAAGGCAATATTTGACATGCAAGAAGGGTGAAGTCTGGTTGTTAGATGGGTTTCATATGTTTTTACAGTTGAAAAGCGTCGGATATTACTTCACTTACTAGTTCTAATAATTCAGTCCATAAACTCTGCTGCTAAAGCAGTCATTACTGCCCGGTTTGTCGGTACTACCCAAAAGTCGGTATTGTATAATCAACATATACCTCAGATGACCTGATATGCGTTGTGAACTCCCTTTTACATCGTGAGAAATATGTTTTATTTAAGTGGAAATTAGTATTGTTTGCTTGCAAAAGTTGTTCCTGGGCACATTTGTATCACCAGTTACGGGTAGAAATCATTACATGTAGAGCACTACCCAATTACTCGGTGAATCACAAAACGTTTTTCCATCTTGAAAACAGCTCTTTTTCACGGACCTCGGAAACTGAATCATAATACAGTTTGGTCTTTAGTTTTTATTTGAAGGTGTCCATTTTATTATTTTAGTAAGAATGGTTTTGTTTAAAAATGCAGTCTATCAACTGCACCATTGATGCTATTAATGAACATTCGGTAATGCGTTTATCAAAATTGACATTCATAGATTGATCCTCAAGGTACTGTAGTAGATACGGATAGACCACTATGTGAAGAATAAAAAAACAGTTAAATGTACTGTATACAAATTATGAACCGAACAAGTATCGATCTAAAAATCATTCACTACTTATATAACCGTTGCATTATTTTATGATAACTAGAACAAGTGTTAAGAGAAGGCATTTAAAAGTCATGGAGCCTTATTCTTGCCTGAGGACAGTTGAACAATATCTGTAGACGTTGTATAGTCAAAATACTCACAATGTTGTGACGTTTGAATGAACTTATGATTCCCTTGTACTTGATGAATGCTTGATTTCGAATTTTAAGTACAGTACATTCGTTTGTGGTTATCTAGTATTTCTTGATCCGATTACGTTATTTCTGGGATTCTAAGTCCATACTATAATCCAAATACCCCTAATCATTCTAAATGTACGTGACATAAGTCATTTATTGTTATTGGTTTGGAACAATTATGTATTCCTTCACACAATGGTGATACATTTTAAAACAAAATTTGCATAATGTAGATACGAAGCCCAATTTGCTTATTCACTTGATATCAAAACATTAGCTGTTTTTTGTTTAACATCGACGTATTATGGTAATTCTACAAGGTAAAACTATCAAATGAAAATGAAGAACTCATCTATGAGAGTTGTCTTCATTATCATTAGTTCATTTAAAGAACACTAAAAAGATAATTTTCAACTATCTATTTCAACTTTTCGTTTTTTTAAAACCTGGAGAAAGTTGTAAGCATTTATTGCAGCTTTCAATTTATTAAAGGAAAATATTTAGAGTGACTCAAAAGAGTATTCAATAATCGCTACTTGAAATAGTGGATATTAAGAAGAACCTGAATATAAAGAGCAATTTAGTTGTTATTTGGTCTTAAGATCGTCTTATTTTTGATCCTCAAATTATTAAGTTGCGTTATGAAATGCATTCCTACTCATAGAAGAGAATAAGAAAGTATTATGGCAAAACTCTATTGTTTGTTTTTACATTCTTATATTGAATATTTAAGTAGTGTTTTTTTGGATTCTGTGAGCTTGAAAATTACTAGACATATGATGGTTGTAGTTATAGAGATACAAGAGTAAATCCTGCTACACAGCCAGATCAACAACAACGTCTGAACTGTCTATCTAAACAACAAGAGTTAAAGTCTAATGACTGATTTCTGGAATTAAAGATGTGTTGGTTATTCAAGCTTTTATGTTATCTCCTAATTTCCCAAACTTTTCACTCAGGAAACAATATGATCCTTAGAATACTGAATAAATGGAGTCCATTGTTAACGTAATGTACAAAATGGTCTGTTTATATCGGGTTCTTTACGTCTAAGAAATGCTTTAGATAGACCGTTATAATTAACTTTTTGTCTCTCAATTTGTTTGGAAATAAAATTCAGTATTGTCATTAAAAAACTAAACAATACAGATTTTATTCATCTTTGTTAAATTAGTGGTTATGGTTGGGAGGGAAAGGAGATGGGATACATCGTCGCAGATATTTATGGACAGATTTAATTTGCCTGCTAATAATGGTACCTTTGCTCACATTGTGCGCATGGTTGGCGATTTCTTCGAATCAGGATGAAAAAAGTGCTAATTCAAGAAGGTTTCCATGGCAGTCCTTTTTTCTTGGATTATTATGCAGCCTTCTTCTTTTAGTATTTAATATTTGGTTAATGGTGAGTATTGAACTTATCGTGATCAACGAAATTCGAATAACATAAGACAAAGTGATTTAAACTAATTTGTTTGATCAAAAATATGATTAAAATTTAATGTGCGCTTTGATAGTTATACATTATATACAATACCGCAAAACCACTAAATCAATGTCTTTGAAAGTCTCTCATCTTTTTCAAAACCCCTTTGGATTCTTTAGAACGTAAAGTCTGTAAAGTTCTTATTGGTAGTCTCTAAAAGCTAGAGATAAATCTGTAAGATGCACGAAAATGTTGTTGTGTTGCTTTGAAGCTTTTTAAAGCTTCGAGGTCATTGCTTTAATGTGTTTTTGGGTTCACAAACCCCAAGTAAGTACTGAATTAATTTGTCCTGAAAAGCAATCAACAGTCAATTTAAAACAATTTTACTGAAAGTCGCTGACTTTTCATATCAGAATTTTGTTGGTTACTAGCAAACATGAATTTTATAGTTCATTAGGATATCAGAAAAGGATGAGTAGATTTTTATTCGGCTTAAAAACTGTTAGAACATGTATAAATTCGTCACAGTTATTAAATACTACCCAAAAATAATTTTAGTGATATTTGGAAATAGCTAGAGAAGTCGATATTCAACTCTTCTGTCTTCATAAATCTATCACGTTTAGAAAATAGTCTCAATGATTTTTAATAACCATTTCTAATGTGACTGACTAAACTGCCGTTGGAAACATTCAACAGAAGTTCAATTTTGTTGAAAGATTTGATCAAAATGAAATAGCTTTTAGGTTGGCTGTCATAGAAATTTATTTCAAAACTGTTCTAACTACGGTTCAAGATAAAAAATACTACTAGCACAAGTTAAGTAACATAAAACAGTTTTTTGCCCCAACTATTTCTCGAATAATGTATTAAAGGGTTCATCGAATGTTATTTTTCGAACTTTGGGGATTCGTTAGGAAGTCTGTATTCCTTTTTGTGTAATCAAGTGAACACTTGTGTGTTTCCATTTATAAATCATTTAGGTATAAGTATGTTCCTGTGCTTTTAATGATATTTTTTAATTGAAGTACTTCCTGTTAATTTCATAAATCATTAAGGTACATATGTTAAACAAACTTGAATTTCCTAGAAAAATACTTTAAAATTTTTTAAGTAGCATTAGTGATTTCTCTTGTGTTTGCCACACATGCTTTATAAACTTGTGAATATTTGTAATTTTATTAGGAAACTAAAAAGTTATTTTTATAAAATACCAAACTTCTAGTTTTCTCTTCGATATCATCATCAATCATGGAAACTTTGGCGTAAAGAACAGACTTATATTGTCTTATCAGAAACTGTTAAAAGAAAAAAGGTGATGAACATAAAAGGTGACTCACAAAATCCAAATTTAATTATCCAGAATAATAAACAAGAACAAAATCAACAATTAAGGAGACTAGATATGCCTGAGTCAAATGAAACAAGTATGAAACCAAACAAGGTAAGTCGTATAAAATTAGTTTATTTGAAAATAGCATAAATGAGTATTTTCGATTTTATTTGCTTCTATAAAAACGCTTTTCAGTTTTTACAAGAATCGTTACATTAATTCATACACCTAATTAGGTAATTTACTAGATCTTCGAAACATGTCTGTAAGTTCAGTTTTGAGTACTTTTGTGATTAGCTTATGATTAATCATAGTACATTAAACACCCATTAACTATCAGGGATATGACTCATTTTTTCATGAACCCACAGTTGGGTGGTTTGACGACAGAAAAAATTATACCAGATTTCTTATATGAATTTGCTAGGCTTGAGGATTTTATTGTGAATAGTTTAGATGTGTTAGTCTATCATTATTCAAATGAAGCATAAACCATCTAGTTAGACAACTAGTTCTAGTACTACTATTTTTTTCTGAAACTTCAATAAAGCTTACTGGTAGAGACTTGGATTACAAAGTGAATCGCATAATGACGGCCTGTACAAAGCTACTAGTATATAGGTCAGTCAAACTTTTACAAAAGCTTGGTAAGCATAAAGAATGATAAAGTTTATTTAGGCGATCAATTACAGTTACGGGTTAATAACTTTTGTGATCTCGATAAAACTTTTTATCATTTACTTTACTTATAAGTAAAGTGTCATGGTGCGTACAATATGCCCTGTTTATTTCATATCAAGAAATCATCAAATATAGTCTGAAATGACTCTCTTTATGGTATTTTTATAAAGTTTCATAAATAAGTATCATAGTAGAATTAGTAAAATACTTTTAATGTAACTTAATCATTACATGGAAAATTAGATTAAACAATAATAACTGAGATGGTGGAGAAGATTTGTAGCTCAGGTGGATGATTTTGGTGGTGTTTTGTTCTCTGAGCTGGATGGTTTGGTCGTGGAGCTTTCATCGTTCTTCTGAACGACATCATCAGCACAAACTTCAGATAGAAGTGAAGTGTTCGAATTTCTCCATATGTGTTTCACAGCTTGTTCTGTGCACCTCGATGTTGATTGGTTCTTGTTGACCTTAAATTTATCATTGTTTACTTCTTTGTTTTGGTTGTGTCTCCCATTGGTTTGATTTTTGTTCCTATATTTATGCATGATTTTCCTGATTGGTTGATAAATTGGATTGATTTCAATATGTTTGTTGATTGCTGATTGACCTGAGTGCCAATTAGGATAGAGAATTGCCGAGCAAAGTGGAAGAAAAATGGTACACCTAATGATAACGGATGAACACTACAGGATCTGCAAATACCAACACGTCATAGAAGACCAAAAGATAAAGCTACAAAGGATGCTCACATCAGAACATTTGGAAATCGTGACAACAGCCATCGAGATATCATGCAAACGACATAGAGAACAAAGAAGAAACACCTTAAAGAAAAAACTAATCAAGATCACAAAACCACCCATGGAAGAAAACACAAACAACTGCGTGATCAATCTGTCAAAACAACCACTAACAAATACGGAAGAACACCTGCTCCAAAAAGGATTAAACTACAATACAAGCGACGCCTCAAAGCTACAGTTCTTCGCAGCACTAGAGTCATCACTCAAAACTTCCGGAATCAGTGAAGAAACACAACAAGAAATAAGGCAAACTATAGTACCGATAACTCAACAGGTGAAAGAAAACAACCAATTGACTCCACAAGAACAAAAGGCATTGAAAGAACTCAGAAATAGAAAAGATATTATCATAATACCAGCCGACAAGGGACGCACCACAGTAATCATGGACAAAGAAGAATACATCAACAAAGCCGAAGAACTACTCGAAGATAAGAGCACATACAAACTGATGGACACAAATCCCGTCAAAAAATTAGACAATCAAATCTCAAAGACTTTAAACAAGCTAGTCAAAGCGGGAGAAATAACAAAACAAGACCAATGTAGAATGAAATCCAGTGGACCAGTACTCCCTCGATTCTACGGTAGACCCAAAATACACAAACCAAACATCCCACTACGTCCAATAGTAGCACTCCCCGGAACGCCAACATACAATTTGTCAAAAGAAATTTCACGAATACTGAGACATCTAGTAGATTCAGCCAAACACTCCATCAAATCCCCAACACAATTACTGGACCGAATTAAGGATATTCAAATCAACAACGACGAACTCATGATATCCTTCGACGTAACAGCACTGTTCACCTCAATTGAACCACAGCTAGCAAAAGAAACTATATCCCTGCTACTCAACAACGACACAAATCTCACCAAGTACACGACGCTTCAAATTAAAAGTATACTGGAATTCATCGATTTATGCCTAACAACATATTTTCAGTTCAACAACAAAATCTACGAACAAACAAAAGGGACACCAATGGGATCACCAATATCAGGACTGATCGCAGAAGCAGTGATGCAAAGACTAGAAGCCACGATATTACCAGTGATCAAGCCAAAAATTTGGATTTGCTACGTAGACGACACCTTTGTCATCGTCAAAAAGGATGAACTGGAAAACACATACAAACTGATCAACAACGTTTTCAACGACATCAAGTTTACAATGGAACAGGAGTCAAACAACCAAATAGCATTCTTGGATATATTGATCACTAGAACCGATACAGGAAAACTGGAAACTCAAGTATATAGGAAACCGACCCATACAGATCAAATCCTCAATTACAACAGCAACAACCCAAGAGCTCACAAAATCAACTGCGTACACACATTGTTCAAGAGGGCGAGGACACACTGCAACACACTGGCAGCACGAAAAAATGAAGAGAAATACCTGAGGGACATATTTCAAAAGAACGGCTACCCAATCAACTTCATCAAAAAGCACCAACGGCACACAGCATCAGAACCCAAATCAAGCACAAAAATCAACAAAAGGATCACCCTACCGTACATACAAGGAATATCAGAAACCACAACGAGACTGCTGAAAACCTTCGGGATAGGTGTGGCACACAAACCAACAAAATCATTACAATCAATCCTATGCAAACCAAAAGATGAAATAACAAAGGAAAACAAATCAAACATCATCTACAAAATAAATTGTACCAACTGCGACAAACACTACATCGGACAAAGCGGACGCCCCCTCCACCTTCGCCTACATGAACATCAATTAGCAGTCAAACGCCATGATATCTCTTCACTTATATCAATACACGTGGATAACTACGGACATTCATTCGATTGGGAAAATGTAGAAATCTTAGACAGAGGAAACTCCAAAAACACCAGAGAATTTTTAGAAGCTTGGCACTCAGGTTAATCAGCAATCAACAAACATATTGAAATCAATCCAATTTATCAACCAATCAGGAAAATCATGCATAAATATAGGAACAAAAATCAAACCAATGGGAGACACAACCAAAACAAAGAAGTAAACAATGATAAATTTAAGGTCAACAAGAACCAATCAACATCGAGGTGCACAGAACAAGCTGTGAAACACATATGGAGAAATTCGAACACTTCACTTCTATCTGAAGTTTGTGCTGATGATGTCGTTCAGAAGAACGATGAAAGCTCCACGACCAAACCATCCAGCTCAGAGAACAAAACACCACCACAATAATAACTAATCATCGTACACAGAATCTTGATTATAGCTAATTCAATCCGAATGATACTATGTTCAGTTGAGCGACTGTAGTTAGATCATAATGAAGGGTCGAAAACTGGAACGCAACAATAATCCAAGTGATTTCCTGGTTAATATCAATCGATGATGAATAGTTCAATTTGATTTTCATCAAAAGAATTGTGATCAGATGTAATAAATTCTATTTATTTAAACTGCTATCCTAAAAGCGCATCAAACTGGTAACGTAAAAACTTATATTTCTAAAGTAACCGGTTCCCTTTCACCATTAAACTATCCAGAGATGACTAAACAGGATAATGAATTCATAATTGACTGAGAAAGAAATCGTAAAATCTGTCATAAAAAATTAAATGATTTATAGTTTACAATTAATAGTCTAACTGTTAAATCTTCCTTGAGCGTTTTCTATCCACTGCTTTTTGGGTTTAGCCTAAGGAAAACATAGTAAATACAATTTTATGTTAACAATAATAGTAAAAAAATATATGTGTCCAAAATACTCGGTAAACATGAGTCTAAAATAAATACACTAAATTCAGCAAGTGTTAACAGTGTGACCACAAAAAGTATAGGACTCGAATTATTCACTTATTTTACTAAATAAGTGTCATGTAGAGCCGAACATTAAGGCGCAACTAACCATAAATTTAAATTCCTTGACCTTTTACTAATTTCGTTATTTGTTATTACTATTAAGAAAGAAGTTGGTTATTTAAACTTCATTGGATTTGAAACGAAACAGTTATATTTTGCCTAATGTACATCATTATAACACTTTGGACTTTGTATGTTACCACAGCAAACGTCTCTGTATTCCTTTTTTAGTAGGTGCTATTTTACTTCCATCCATTAAATCATGTGATTCTCCATGTCTTTATTTAAGTAGATTTAACTACTGAAGATTAGTAGAGAAATAAGTCAGGTAAACCGTATTTAATTATAGAATAATCGTATAATGTCAAGAAATTATAAAAGTAAGTCTATATATAGATTTTCTAGATTAATTTGAAACACTCGGCACTTACTAGAATGAGCTTCGATACCACAAACCTAATATTAACCGGTGCATTCGATTTTATCAGCTTAAATGATTCAACCAAGAAGAAATTTATAGTATCAGATAAATCATCATTCGTTGATAATATTACATGTATAATTAAATATAAATTTGAAAAATATGAACATAGCAAGTGATAAAATTTTGTTTTGCATATTGTGGGTATAGAGAATTATGTGTTTGTTAACACGTCCAATAAAAATGGGGATAATAAAATATTGTAAGCACAATAAAATTATAAATGTTTAACCTACGTAGAACTACGACCGAAGAAATAATTAAATGATAAGTATAATCGAGATATATTTGATCACATTTAATATGAATATAGATGGTGGATGACGTTATGATATATTTTTACTAAGTTAATTTATGTTAGTCTGACAGTGTCTAATAAGGTGTACATTGTTGCGTAATTAAAAATTGGTTAGATAAGTAGGTTTTTACTAACTTAATTTAGAATGTGTAATAGTGATAGCTTCCGTTATCGATCTATCATTTAGCAATTAACTGGATCGGAGTAATGTTTATTAGGCTCCTCTTTTTTCGCATAATTGAAAAACTGTATTTTTCCTACAATATTAACTAGACTCTTAGAGAGGAAAAATGTATTTGTAAAATCTCAGCGAATGAGTTATGAATTAAATTCAACGTTTCGCCTGGGAATCTGGTCAAAGCTTTTTTCAAGGAAATATATATATATATATATATATTCGATAATTTTGATGTTTGATTATATTTCTTTGAAAAAGCTTGGACGAGATTGCCAAGCGAAACGTTGGATTTACATCAAATTCTTTCGCTGAGATTTTATAAATACATTTTTCCTCTTTAATGTCTCACATTAACTCGGCGCCCAAATACTGTGAAACTATTCGATCAAATTTAGACGAAAGTTCTTATTTAGACTCTTATATAATAAAGTTTTAACAACGTGACCACTGAATGGATGAATTATCAGAAAATTATTTCATATTGATTATCGTTACATCTTTGGTTAGGGGTCAGTTATTATCAATTGTTTAATGCATTTAGTCATTTGCTAAAAGTGGTATTGAATGACAAAACACTATGTCACAAAATGATTAATGTTGGAAATCTGAGCAACTTAATTCGAAATCACTTGTTCAAATGTGATGAGCTCACTTTGAAACTTAATAGTCCCAAGTTCAATACATGGTGGGATTGTGAGCATGCATCGGTGAGCGATCACATACTAAAAAATAACAATCCAGTGTTCCCTAATTTTCAGTGATCCTTTAACGTATGTCAATGTATGACAAAAATCAACTTGTTACAAATTAGAGCTAATGTATTTCCTTTAGAAAACTAATAACAATAAATCTTTCTTTCTCAAGAGTGAAATTAGAGTGGTCTCATATGAATTATATATTACTTTGTTCCCATTGTAGGCACATGCTCCTATTTGTCCAAAGAAGTTTATTATATATCTATAATTTTTCGAAATGCAATAAAGAAAACTTTAACTTAATTTGAATACTTGATAAATCATCGTTTTATGAGTTTATCTATTAGCATTTGAAGGTATTGACTACTTTATTCTTTTTTCATACACATAGTTCCCTTTATCATTTTGAAAAGAGCAAGAACAAAGATTCTAGTAGAAAAGCATGAACCTACAAAATAAAATGAATTCATACTTTATTCTTGATATATTCTGAAAGTAAAGTTAGAAAATTACTTTTATTCCTATTCACTTTAATTATTTTAACATTTATTTGTAAAGTCTAGTTTACATAATTTATACATGTAAGAGCGGGTTTACAACCAGTTTGAATTAAATGACAACTGAATAACTGGACCTTTGATTCTACTTGAAGTAATGTCTATAAATTTCTAACTTTTGGATAAATATACATGAAAATATTTTTTCAAATTTATTTTTGCAAAGTAAACTTCCATTCCTTCAGCTTTAAGTTTGAAGAGTATAATTATTTTGGAGATAACATTGGTATTAGTTTACCATTGTTTCATGGATGATCTGTCATGGCTACTACATTACGCTTTAAAGTAATTTTAGTGACTTATAAAAGTAATTTATGTGCTTAGTTCTTTATCGACATTGTGCATAAGGCATTTTTAACACTTTCACATAGTCATTTATAAGGCTTCTACCTAATTTCTTCTAGCACTTAAATTAATGTGGTTAAAACACACCGACTGCAAATATTTCTCAGAATTTCAAAATTAATTTTTTACACTGTCGTTCAACGTCGTGCAGATCGATTTCTCAATTCACTTAATTATGGATTTAGCCAACTTTTGTTCTAATCAAGTCGCTTTATTATTTAAGCATATAAATGATATTAAATAATTTCGTTATAGATATGCATTTGTACACAGCACAATGTTTTATTATATTTCGTGAACTAATGTTATTACTGTACAGTGTGTTATTAAAGGAAGATTGTAATGATTTTCACCTTTTTACTTCTTGAACAAATAATTTATATTCGTAAACTACGGAACAAACTGGTAGATTAGTGAAAGAACAACTGGTCTTTTATTTTTATTTGATGATCATACAAGTATAAGAAAGTATTTGCATACAAACCATTAAAAGACTCATATGTATAAGACAGACTTAAATACTTTTTATCATTTTCATCAAGTGTTAACATTTATTAAAAAATTATTACTATTTGCAAGGGTTTTAATTGATGGATACTGGTTCCCAGTCTCATCATTAACATCAATATTGGGGTGTGAATATACTTACAGTTGATGAGTTATAAGTAAAATTAAACAGACACGGGTAACTAGTATCAAAAATATGTAGTCCAACTGAGATGATTTTAATATTTTAGAGATATGTGTACGTTTTGTTCATTTGCTTAGTTTAAATATCATCCAAAATGATTTCATTTTTCTGTTTCGTTATATGAAAATTTATTGACTTACTGATTCGTTGGTATAACGTTTGGACTATTGGATTTTCCTCTCCAATTTTAACTAGATATTAAAAAGTACATCAATTTTACGTCGGCAAAAAGAATAAAGGCACTATATTAATGTGAAGTGAGAATTATTACAGACAGATGGCTTACTATACTGATTATTAGAACGTATGTAAAATAATTCAAGTCCCATATAATCACGACTAAACTTTATTTCTTCACTTGCGTTTATTATGTACTGGGTTATTTCTTGTCTTATGGTTTCAAAATAGCGCTCCATATAACATACTAATTTAGAGAAATAGTTGTATTTTATGTATGTGTTTTAGTAAACAGTTGATAACGGGTAGTTGTCACAATTGATTGATCACTGGGTGGTGATCAATTTCATGTGTGTCAAGTCTTTATTAGTGCAGATATAATGCAATCGACCAAGTTGCAATGTGGCCACTAGTCTAGGTGACTCGACATTGCGTGCACTATATTGAGATTAGTTGGTGGTTGGAGGTAGTCAACAGGAAACCTTGGGCCCGGGTTTCTTGCTACTTGGCGCTCGTCACTGGAAACCCGGGTCCAGGGTTTCCTGTTGACTACCTCCAACCACCATCTAATGGGTAGTTGTATCAGAATAATCATATAATCTAATAGCGTAGTTTTTCAGTGTCACGATATTTATTAAAAATATCCATTTAAAGTATCCACAAATTTCAGTCACTGTCTAAATACAGTGAAATAGTAAGGAATAAAATGGCAAGGTTTCAAAATTGTGTAATGATTGAGATATAACTATGGACAATGGCCTGTGTTGGGAACACCATATGACAAATAGTATTATTTTACTATGAGCTGTATCAAATGCCTAAATTAATGGGCCATTAGAATCAGATACAATGGTCGAACGTCACTCTTTTCTCCTATGCAATGGTTTGAAGATTTTTGAACTTTGTATTAAAATCTGGTTGACGATTGAAAGCTAATTAATTATTTTCATACTTTAATATATGTATGTAAATTGTTTTTGTAAAATCTGCAGACCATAGATGATTCTGAGCTAGCAATTAATACAATACGGCAACAATGTTTGAACACTGAAAGCTATTCTGGACCTATATGGAATATGAAATCAGAAATTTGTGATGAAATAACTAATACTGGAGGGAATGATACACCAATGATACATAACAAGTTAAAAACGTTATCAGCTGAAGAGGTAACGATCAAGGAAGATAATTATACTGAACATGTTGTGCAGACAGAACCAATGTCATTTAGAAGTTCTTTATCTGTTTTTATAGTACCAACAGAATCCTGTGCAAATGATACGCTAAATGAAGCAACAAACTGACAGGAAGTATATACACATTTTTAAAAAAATTATCTCACAAAAAAGGTGGCATTCCTTATTTTTTATCAACTAGATTGTATAGTAATAACAAACACCAAGAAAGACTTTACACTATGTTCAGTCCTATGATAAAGATTTCTGCTTCATTTTTATAACTGACTTAATTTATATTTATTATTTGTGATTCAGATTTCTGTATAAATCTTCTAGATTGATAGCTGGGAGAAAATTTAGTATTTTCCTAATCATTGTACAACTTCACTCTCAATTTTAACGATTTTATTCAATTACTAAAAAAGGTAACCACTAATGGATGACTGATTTTGATTATAACTAAGCGACAATAAGGAAAATTGATAAAGATAAAAGTTAACATTGATTGTGTTGTTGCTCGTATTGCTTTCCGATAAACAAAAGCTTATGTAATGACAATCCAAATAAAACGTAACCAGTCTTTCAGCCATAAAAACAATTAATTTTGATAGCCAATGTACAACTGAGTAGATGTTATCATTCGGAGATTTTGCAATATTTTCTTTAAATAAAAAAGAGTAACAAGCGTAACCTGATTTCTAAATGGTTAGTTAATATCTTACAACCCTATAAAAATCATATCAATAGATATAACTCTCTTGATTCCTTTACTTTGTCGACTCAATTGAAAATATTAATTTAAATGGTAGGAAAATTATCTTATTGGATGTCACTTCTCTTTTTACAAATGTTTCTCTCACAGAAACGATATGTTTTTTGTGTGACTATATTGAAAATAATAATATCCCAAAACATTATTCAAAAGAGCTACTTCTACGATATACTCTCAACGTGCAATTTAGATTTAATGATGATTTTTATAGACAAACAGATGTAGTTGCAATGGATTCTCGATTGGGTCCCCTCTTGGCTGATTGTTTCATTGCCAATCTTGAAAATACGGTATTTTGACCAATAAATGAGGAGTTTCATTTATATTAGAGATATATGGACGATACTTTCATTATTTGTGAAGATATGGACCTCAATACAATTTTAAATGGTTTCAATAATTGTCACCCCTCAATTCAGTTCACTTTGGAAACAGTGGAAAACAAGGAATTTCATTTTCTTGGTGTCCGATTAAAAAGGAGGCCAGATGGTTTTCTACAGAGATCTATATATAGAAGACCAATCCGAAATGGGCAGTACATGAATTTTCATAGCTGGATCCCACTGAGTAAAAAGAGGGACCTTATTCACTCTTTATCCTCAAGGATCAGAAGAATATGTTCTACTGACACAATTGATGAGGAACTACTCCAACTTCGACAGACTCTCATTAGAAATGGTTATCCACCTAGGTTTGGCGATAGTAAATTAACAACTAAACATCATCCGAAAAAAGTACCAGCAGTACAAATGAAAACTGTTTTTGTGAATATGGAATTCAATGGAGATACGGCTGCTGAAATAATAAATAAACGGATTTTAAAATCCTTTAATAAAACATTCAAGCTCCGAATTATTTTCTCAAGCCGGCCTTCCATTCACGGATGTATTAAGGATAAACTCTCGCTTTGGGCCACATCAATGTGCATCTGTAAATTTACGTGCTCATGAGGAGCAGCTTACACTGATCAGCTGATAATTATCTGACCCGTAAATTATTTTCATCCTTAGATTCTTTTCTTACCCCTTGATTATTGCGTTACCTCATATGATAACAAGAGTTTCGAATCACTTTATGATGTAATCTTTTCTATCCTATTATGGACATATATTTTCCATATAACTATAAATACGAATGTACAACTTAAGTAAATTATTTCGTCGAAAAGAAAACTTTCTTCGCTGAATCCTCTTTATTTTTACTCAATAACATGTAAAATTTAAAAAATAACAAGTTTTACTCTTTTATTAAAAAAAATAAGGAAATTGTTGGATAGATGAAAAGTTTCAATAGAAGTTAATATATAAACTAATCAGAAAGAATTTCTGACACCACAGTTCCCAAATGTTATAAAATCATTTTGGAATTTTCTGTATTTAATTCCATAAAATTCTGCTCTCTTCTTTTCGATTACTTGTTATCGTTGAGTATTTGCAGTGTAACACGTTTGTTAATCCAGTGTGCTTTCCTACGAGTACTGCTGAAGTAATAATAATGGACCAATGATGTAAAAGATTCCTATATCATCACTTATTTTAAAACATATGAAGTGGTTTCATTTTAAAAACTATAAAGTGTTATGAAGTATGAGAAAAAGATCTGATTCAATAGAAGATCAGGATTTCTAGAGAGTTGTTAAGCAAGAACCCATACTTATGAAAAGATTTTATATTTGTTTCGTTATACAGTAAATCATTTACAAGA